TAGATAGATAGATAGATAGATAGATAGATAGATAGATAGATAGATAGTCAGCCCATGACAGATTTTTGTTGGAGATGCAAGGACAATGCTTCTTTAAAGCATAGGTTTTTACAGTTAAGCTTCGGGAGAAAGAAATGTAGTATATAAGTGTTATTAAACAACATCAAAATTTTCAGATAATATTCTCTTGAATTATATACCTAATACACAGAACTTGGCAACTGGACAATACAAATAGATTCTCCATGGCCTTACTATAGCTGAAGACTGATACTGATATATGCATGTGTGTGTAAAAAAAATACAGTAGGTAAAAAAAGCATTATAGTTACATAAGAGTAGCTGCCAAGAGTCGCTTTACAATGAGGAGGGTGGAATATAAATTTAGTAAATAAATAAATAGTATTAAAAGTATATGTATGTATACATCCATGTATAATACACACACTTGCATGTTTATATTATACGTACTATAATAAATTAATATATTTAATAGAGAATTGTAATTCTTCACCATTCTAATGACATATTATACTTTATATTTTGTGTTGTTTTTTTCTGTTGTACTTTTATTTTTTGTAAGCACTTGTTGCGTATTTTCATTATATATGGGTTTTTGTGTTTGGTATTCCTTTTTGATATTGGTTTATTATTTTTTTCTTCTTTTTTTTCTGCTATTATTTTAAAAGCAATATTTTTTAAAGAAGGGTTTTATCTATGTACCCAATCCAATTACAATCTATATGATCTACACCACATTTACTAGCCACATGTGACTACAGGAAACAACACAAATCTGCATGAACACATTTAATACCACCTTATGATTAAAAAAAATGTTTAAAGGTATCACAGAAGAAAAAAATGTTAAAATACAATAAATCACAGTATATCCCCCAAAAAGAGGGGAAACACACCTGACATCCACAGAGGTGCCTTTTGCAAACCTGCAGTAAAAGGATACCAGTACAGGTACCTTCCAAGTATCAGGGGGAAAGTGTTCCAGGGGATAGGCTGTGTGTGCGTAGACAAGGCCTAGTTTTCAGCACACTAACCATAATCTAGCAGTCACTGAATCACAGCACAAGCCCCTCCAGAACTATTCCAGTGTTAGTGATCAAGCAAGTCTGCAAAAAGGGAAAATGACCTGTATCTTGGTCTCAAACTTTTTAGGGGCTTATATGCTAAACATAAACTAGTGACATGGCTGGATAACTAATAATTAGGAATCATTAATTGTTTTAATAGTGGTATACTCAGTATGTTGTCAGTATTTCTTTCAGCAATCTTCCCACTACATTATGTAGTAAAATATATGGTTACATGACCCATCTCTTTTGCAAATTTAAAATCACTTCCTAAAGTTAGCAAAGTTAGCAAATAGAATGAATGATCTTCTTGTGACATGATTGCAAGTTCATTCAGGAAGTTCTTCTGCAATGATAACTACAAAACTTCAAAAGGTGTGCATTATAATTTATTTTAGAAAGCCTTTCATAAGCCAAAAATGCCCTGTCCTAAAGCAAAAATATAGTTTAGAGGTGTTGGGGGGGAGGATTGTATGGTTTCTACTTTATCTCAGAACCCTTGATCGTTCTCTTCCTTCCCAATGACAAATTGGAGAGGAGGAAAACATATAATTCTTTTTGAAAAGCCATTTGATAATCATATTCAATAGCATAACCATAAATGTCAACAGGACAGTTAATATTAACTTTAATACCTGCAGCTCCACCCATCATGAATATGGAAGCCACCCAATCTGCATTGAAAATTATTGCCTTTTTTTAATGGAAAAGCTTTGCATGCCATTTTCTTAAATCAACAATTAAATTGCCCAAAATGTTTTAAAAACTTTAATCAGAATAACTACTTTTATTATTTCCAAATCTGCCTTACTGCCTACATTCCAAGATGAATGCGTGGTTTAAAAGGTCTCTTTCAACCCGATTTACTCAACGAATGAAGAGTATAAATCCTACCCTTCAGAACCGTCTCCACTTTCCTTTTCTAATCAATCAAGCTTTCAGGTCAGAAAGTTAAAGGCAGCCAAAAAAGAAAAAGAAAGAAAGATCACAAGAATAGTCCGTGCATACAAGAAGGGCGTAAACTTTCTGGTTTCTCCTCGGCCAATTCATCCCTGGTGTAAAAGCCCACAGGTACGCCCTCAGCAAGACAAGGAAGGAGTTCCATCCGAGAGGATTAACGACCGACACTCCCTTAGAACTACATCAAATACCGGATCTCCAAAACCCGCAGCAATCATAACCCCGCGTGTATTTACCGTTGCATACCACCAACTCGCGAACGCCATCGCGGGGACCGTTCCCAGTTCTCCTTCCAAGTTCGCCTTCTCGCTTCCCCAAGAGAGAGAGCGCACGAAACTCCCAGCTATGCGCGGCTGGCTGACCTGAGGGCTTGGGAATATGTGCGGGCAAAGAGCGGGGCGTGGAGAAGCTGCTGCGTCCTTCAGTCGGCCCGCCCCCAAACAGACAGCAGAGTAAGAAAGTTTGAAGAGGACGGTCCGGGTCTATGTGGTTGTCTGCTCGCTTGGAGCCCCGCCTTTCTGCTTTGAAGTTAATGCAACGGGGGGGGGGGGGCTTTGCCGAGAAGGAATCGGCTCTTTGAACAAACGGACGCGCGAATCCAATCAGCTAAGACGGTTCCCCCTCTTCCTCTCCGGGATAGACGGAGGAGTAAGGAGGAGAATGAAGTCTCGATCCAACTTCCCTTGGTGCCAACTGCACCGCCCAAAAACCACCTAAGTATGATTTCATTGTTTTGACCCAGTTCCTGGAAGAAGGGAAGGCTTGTCTCCACTCATTGTTTTTCTTTCTAAACTCCTAGCATTTTCTGGATAAAATTCCTTCTGCTTTGTCAGAATATCTTTATATATATATATATATATAAACGGTGGCCAAGAAGTCATATTTAACCCCCAGGCCTGCATTCATAGATAAAGAAATGCACTTTGCTCCAGACAAAAAATGAAGTGCCCATAAACTAAGTTCCCACAGGTGCTAACTTGGAGCTGGATGAATTATGACACTAATTATCAGGACAATGGACCATAAACTAACCACGCTAGTTTGAGTTTCACAAAATACTGAAACACTTTTGTTTCCAATGCCTTGAAAGCCTAAAAGAATATATCAAGTCGGCTACTATAAATTCTGAGAAGGGTATTTCAAACACTCCTTCTTAGGGTACCTAATAGATCAGTAACTGTCAAGGAAAGAGAAAGTTTTATCTTCAGTGCAAGACCTTTCCCCAGTATCTTGACTTCCCCACAGTTTGCAAACAACATTGAAAAAGGAGCAGCAGTGAGAGAAAGGTGCGACTATGAATGATTTTCTCCACAATTTTGTGAATGTGTTAAAAGGAATCTCCACCTGCCATTCATTCTGCTATCCCACAAACAGGACAGCTAACTTTTCTAGGCACTATGAAATAACTTGATGGTAGAAATCAAACCGTGAAATTCCACTGTAGTATCTATCATTTCATAGCAAGAATATCTGCAAGCTGAACCTGTACTAGAAATAAGGTACAGGTCTTGATAAATGACGACACATCCACCTTTAGTCTCTTCTCGAAGGTGAGGACCCTAAACCTCTTTCCATTAAAGAGGAAGGAGCGTACCCAAAATACTGAAGGCAATCTACCTAAATCCCCTGATTTCTATTGGAACCACTATAGGATATCAACTAGATTTCATTTAAACCAGAGAATGGCACGAAACTTGATGTCAGTTTAATGTCATTGAACATACAGAGGCTCAGAGCTTGGGTTCACACAGACCAAGTTGTAAACAAGCCACGACCGTGTTTAGAAAGCTCATTGTTTTAAATGGCAGGCTACATACAACAGGCCATGATATAAGGGACTGTGCACAGTATACCAACCTACACGATGGTTAATCCACACCCGAGTTTACACAGATACGCTGTTTCATAACCATAAGCTCTGTTTTCAGAGAACGTTAAATGTGCGTGCTAATTTGTTACTCGGTAAATCGTCCCTCTACTGTGTCAAATGTGACTTGGTGTTGCACTTTATAAATCGCGGTTTTAAAATTTGCCACCTTGTGCAAACACAACCTGGGACGATAAAGTTTGCAAGTCGAAGATAGCTTTGAATCGTCACACTTTAGAAACCGCCCCGAGACAAAGTTCGGGACGCGCAGAGAAGTCCCTTTCCCTTTCCCAGAAGCTTTCAAAGATTCCATCTGCGGGTTTAAAGTAGCCCAAATATGCCTGCTCGACTATTTAAAATAATAGTCACCATTTTTCACATGGCCGCAGGGAGGGGCTCTGGTCTTTGAAGTCCCCTCGCCAACCTTCCTCCAGTGGGCGCCCTGGAAATGACAGCCTACGGCGCTTATCGCCTATCAGTTGATAAGGGAAATTACAGGGTAGCCCGGCACATCTGGAGAGAGCGAGAGGCTAAAAAAAAAAGGCGGCGTCACGAAGTGAGGCGGCCTGCGAGTACGCAAAAAAAGGGCGCGCGCGCACCCTAAATTTCCTCGTTCGAGCAGCTGCTCCGCCCCACCCAGCGCTTCCCCCGCCGCTCCTGGCTCTGCTCTTCGGTTCTCTGGCGCGCCTCTGACCGCTGCCAATCTTGGCTCCTCGCCGTTCTGGGCGCTGGCGAATTTCTGCTGCGCTTCGCCACATAAGCCTCGGCCCCGACCGACCGCCGCAGGGCGACGTTTCTCGCCCCTCTTATTCGACAGAGGAAATAAGAACGAGCCCTCTTAAAGGGGCAACCGTTGAGTTTAGCTGAGCGCCCGCCCGCCGCCTTCGACTTACGTCTTTGGAGCCCGCGGCGGGTTGTTTCTTGCCTTTCGCTGGCTGCGACATGACGGCTGAGGAGGCGCGTTGGCTCCTCGCAGGCCGTTTTCCCTTTGAGGCGTGTTGACGGGACTCTGCGGTAACCCCGAAGAACAAGGAAGAGAGGCGAGCAGCAGAGGAGGATCCGGCGGGGAGCTACGAAACAACTTTTCCAACAGACCCCGTGCCAAAATCAGGCGGCTGTGGCGCCTCCTCTTCCTGCGGCCGCCGCTTCAGTCTCGGAGAATTTCTTCGGGAGGAGGTTCACTGTGAAAGGGCTGGGTGGCACGTTGTTGTATTCCCCGAGTCGGCTGTGCCTTGTAGATTTATACGGCTTCTGAGCGCCGTTTCATTCTAGCTTGTTTCAAAGGAGCCTCCTTTTAAAACCTTGCAGAGGTTACAACGCACTCAGGAACACACACACACACCATATATTGATCCAGTTTCTTACTGGTTTGCCCTGGTGTGTGAGAGGCCTCCCCTTAATTTCTAAAAAAATTAAGCATCATACTACATAATCTACACAGGCCAATATTACTTTCCTCTCCTCTTAAAAACCAGATGTGAAGCCACGAGGTCCAGGTTTGACTCTGGTTAGTGTTTACATGAGATAAACAATTATTTGACAATTCCAGATAAACCATCTAGATGAAAGAAAGAAAATCCAGACAGGCCTTTAGATAAACATCTGGAAGCCTCTCCCACTGAACTTGGTGTAATTTATTTGAAAGCTTATATAGACATTTTTGAGTTCAATTAATGTCAGGAACAACAAAAGCAAAAAAAAAAAAAAGTTGCTTAAAACTTAATTGATCTCACTCAAAAAAAATACCAGGGCAATTAGAAACAGGCATGCTATAATTACACTAGGTAAATGCAAGTTAAAAAGAACATTTCAAGTCAAAAGAGTTATTTAAAAAAGTTATCTGGCATAAAAATGAAAATAATGTTGATGCCAAACAAGTTTCCTTAGGAATTATTGTCTAATAGAATAGAATTCTTTATTGGCCAAGTGTGATTGGACACAAGGAATTTATCTTGGTGCAAATGCTCTTAGTATACATAAAAGAAAGGATACATTTGTCAAGAGTCAAGAATCATAAGGCACAACACTTAATAATAGTCATAGGGTACAAAAAGCAATTTAAATCATACTAGGAAACAGTCCGTATAAATAGTAAGGATACAAGTGACAAAGTTACAGTCATACAGTCACAAGTGGGAGGGGATGGGTGATAAGGAGTGATGAGAAGATTAACAGTAGTGCAGACTTTGTAAATAGTTGGACAGTGTTGAGGGAATTATTTGTTGAGCAGAATGATGGCGTTCAGGGAAAAAACTTGTATCTATTTGTTCAGTGTGCAGTGCTCTATAGTGCCATTTTGAGGGTAGGACTTGAAACAGTTTATGTCTGGAATGTGAGGGGTCTGTAAATCACAATATTGGTGTAAAAAGTAGCCTTTACTTCACCTCAATTTTTTAAAGAGTAGCTCCTAAAGAAGGGCTTGGATGACAAAAGCAGAAAATTATTATGAGAACTTATATTTTAATAGACCCTTGAGAATTAGGACTCAGTCCTAGGCACGTACACATTGGCTCTTGGACTTTTCTGAAATAAGCCCCCAATGTTCTGCCTCACCATTATCCATACAAAACATCTGTAGCAGTGTTTCTCAACCATAAGCAGCTTTAAGACATATGGATTTCAACTCCCAGAATTTTCCAGCTAGCATCGCTGGCTGGGAAATTCTGGGAGTTGAAGTTCGACATCGTAAAGTTGCCAAGATTGAGAAACACTGGTTTACATAGATAAGTTTCCAACCCTCCTGTAAACTGTCACTCACAATTATGAGTTTTCTACATGACCTGCTAACTGAGCACAGGCATTGTTTCCATGATCACATTGAAACGACTTGTATGAATGACATCAGTCTTAGTTCACCTTCCTCAGCAAGGCAACCTGCAATCCTGTTTTCCAGTTCTGTTATAAAAATGATGCTTTTAGATTTTAGCACAAGACTGGATGGTTTCTCTCTTCAGTCTAACAATGTCTATCCTCCTATTGCTTGCTGTTAAGAGTTGCCACAACAGAGCAAATTCCCCCGTGGTTACTGGTTGTGCCCTCCATTGTCATTTTAGAGTATCTGTGCTAAGAGAGGAATGTGTCCACATAAAACCTAAACTTTGTCTCTTGCTTTCCAGTATGGGTGAAAATAGTAAATAAATTAAGGAAATTAATAAAGCAATTATCTTGAAATAAGTTTCTATCTTCAAAAGAAGATTACATTTTTGGCAGCTTCCTCTCATAGTGAAAAATTATAATGTTTCTTCCTTGCTGCATACCGCACTTCCTTGCTTTTGACCATCATAATTGATATAAGCTTGTGCCTGACCTGTGGACATATTTCCATGATTAATATAAAAGAAATATTAAACCCAAACAATTCCTGCTTCACTTTGGTTGGATGCAATGTTAAGCTTTTCATCAAATATGCCACATGTTTATATAAGATCTTAAACACACTAATCCCATGTAGTTCCCATATCCATCTGCAGGATACAAAGATTTGCAGGCTGGAGAAAAGTAAAAAATAACATTACTTTGTAACATACCCCATATGATTGTTGAACTTGTATACCCATTCATATGAATGAATGTGATTTTTAAAATCTTAAGATTTGAGAATGAGATTTTCAGCTCCTAGTTCATATTCTTACCTACTAACCTATTATATGTTTAGAATACAGAGGAACCATGTAAATGAAAGAGGATTATTCTTGAAACAAATTATTTTTCATGAGATTTTCTTTATTTGTGACATTTAATTTTAAAGAATACTTGAACCTCATCACATAACAGGTTTGACAGACTGTGCTGCATTCCTGAGGGTTCATCACACCAAACACTGCTTTCTGCTACAAGGTTGATAAGCAAAACAGAATGGAATCCTAGAAGGATCAAGATATTAGAATATATCCATTTCTTTATTCGGTGCAAGATAACAACTTTGCCCAGAAATGTTCCCACAATTCATCTTCTCAGTCGGGTGCCTTGTAGTATTCTTGATTTTGAACATTTTGAAGAAGGTGACATGTTAAACTATTGCAGCAGAAGAAAAGGGAGATGGCAATTTTGCTGGATTAGGCCATGACAAGTATATTCTTCGAAACTTTCAGGGAAAGGCAGTTGTGTGAGAGGGAAATTGGAACAGGTCTTTGTGGGAGGGCAGAACCAAGAGACCAAAATAAGAGAAAAAGTTGAGAAGACAGAAATAGGCCACAATTATAAAGACTATCAGCTATACAGATATCATCTTTTACAACTTCTCCTGTAGAAGAAGGCTATGATGGGTAGGGGAAATAGAGCTACACAGCCCATAACATGGTTCTTTATGTGCCTTTATCTAACCATAGGAACACATATGTCACGACATCATGATACAAGCCCTGACCCTTGGTATTTGCACCATTACATTTTCTGCAAGTTTGTATTGTAAGCAGTGAACATCCATTGTGTTTTTGCAGTGTATGTTTTGCCGTTCTTTGTTTAAGGCCTATGCATGGTTCCAGTTTCTGATTCAGGTAAATGTAAAGCACTTAGAAAACATTGCTATCTATCCAAAAATTTTCATGACTAAAGCAAAGATGCAATTGTATAATAACAATATTTTACATATATCGTTATATAATTACTATGGCCTATATTTTTCTTGGGTGCAGCTTTAACTCAAGAGCCACATTTCATAACATTTAGAAACAGAGGAGCTGAAACTCTGAAAACCTTACTCAGATAGCTATCAATGGAGAACTAATTACAAAGTTAGATGTATCTTCCTATTGTTTTATCTTTTTAAACTGCCCCTGCCTATTGATGTTCCTTTTTCTGTTTTATGGGACAAAAATAGAATTCTTAAATGGTTCCAGAATAAAGCACATTTGAAGGTTTAGATTACTGCCCTATGTGCTGGAATAAAATTACTGGCATGAAGAAAAGCAAGTACAGAGTGTGACTGGGAAGCCCTATATCCGTGATGGTGAACCTATAGCACGTGTGCCGGAAGTGGCACGCAGAGCCATTTCTGCCGGCATGCAAGCTGTCGCCCGGAACAGATCCACTGCACATGCATGCATGCCTCCAGCCAGCCAGCTGATTGTCAGGTATCTGCTGCGCATGCATGGGGGTGCGTGGGAAATGCGCATGCACAGAGGTGCGTGGAGCATAAGGGTAATGCACGCATGGGCAGGGGGTCACGGGTGCATTGCACTTTTGGCACATGAAAACAAAAAGGTTAACCATCACTGTCTTATAGTGTCAGTACAGGAGAAATTGCCATCCCTTCATAGGAGATCCCTACTTCGTGGACAATTAGCAGTATACCAGGTATATAGGCAGTCCCTAGGTTAAGAACACCCACCTTACAAACAACTTCTACTTATTAATGGGCTGTCTATTACTACAAATGATGGACAATGTTTTACCTCAGGCCAATACACTGCTGAAGCTGCACAATGTTTTAAGGAATTGCTAAAGCTGCACATTTTTAATATGCAGCCTGTTTTCAGCAGTTCATGACAACATTATACAGTTTCAGTGGTTCATCAAACTGCCAAAGGAGAATGCTGTCTGCCATTTTTTAGCAATAAGTACAAGTTCCACTTTACATACATATTTGAGTTAAAGGCAGGTTTTGGAACAGAACTCATTTTTAACCTGGGGACAGCCTGAAACATTTTAAGTGTCAGCTGGTGCTCCATTCAAAATCCAAGAAAGAAATACTTAGACTCTTTTAATCAGAGAAAAGATATATTTTACTGGAAATCAAGTGGTAGCAACAAAAGAATTCTGAATCTGAGAAAATGGGTGCGTAAATCACATATACAAAGTAATGGCAACGTTCCCATCCCCAATAGTTCAATTGGCTCATCTAATTAAAAGTTGTGTATATCATCATGTGGGCATCTCCAGGTGGTGATGAGGCTTCTGTCCGTTGACCTTGACATAGTTTGATAAAGGGTTGCAGCTGCTCATAGCATAGGATAGAAACCTAAGCAAGAATGTACCCCCCCACAGCTTATATAGTTCTGGTTTGTAACACCTCCAGCTCACTTCCCATAACCATTCCCCCCTCCTCCCCTAGTTACTTATGACAGCCGAAAGATACAAAGCAAAGGGAGAAAAATCTTGAAGGAAAATTTTTGAAGGCTGACAGTAAGCAGACTTGCAGTTCCATTCCAAGGAAACAATTAAGTGTTCCTATGTTGTTGAATTAATAAAATTGTTA